AACAATTATTCCACTCGCGCTTGTTGGAGATGAGATGATTATAGCCAACGAGGCGCGTAGCGCCTCGTTGGCTGTTTATCATCTCATCTCCAACGCGCGCTCGTGGAATAATTGTTAAATAGTCCATTCAACCACATCAATGGTCAAACAAATCGGTCACAATCGAATCACACCGGGAATGATTGTTCACAGAAGAGCACTGAAGGATCCCTTGATGATATTTTTTCTCGATTCTGATGAAATTTTGACAATTTAAGATGTAATCTGACAGTGGCATAGCCTTCTTATAGACCCTCTTTGTTTTACTGTTTGACCATATTTAATAGACAACCGACTCTATAATCGATTGACCTATTTCTCTGTCTAACCATAGTATGTTAAATTACCGTACGTTCGGTAATTTAACATACGAAGGGCTAACGCTCGAAACGTCAGCTTTTTTAATCGTTACGGTGGCCAATTTACAATTTCAACTTAGTTGATATAACCAATTATCTTGTTACGTACCCCCACCGACCCAGCACCAAAGTTTCTTTAGAAACGTTCAGCCTTTACCGTACGTTCGGTTTCACACCTCAGTAAGTTATGCATATTTTGGCTTGGCTAGATTGGGAACTGATAATAATCATAATAAACAAGTCTATTAGCTAAAAGTGAGAACTGTATCAGGCAGAACTCGTATTAAACAGGCTTTACGACGAAATGAATCTGTTTTCTATGGACCCATCTTATTCAAAAGAATTTGAAACAAAAAATCAAACGATCTTTTCACACGAAACTGGTACCAATACACAGACAGTTCTTCAAATGTATGAGTTTAATCGATTAAAATTAACATTTATAATTCTATTTTAATTGAGGTATTTTTATTTAAAACAGGTTACCCTGTTTCCGCTCGGTAGCAATTTCCGACCAAATAAATTTCACTGATCATTCTCTCCTGTATTTAAACTTCCATTTAGCGAAATATACCGAAAGAGATGTGTTGTAAGCTTTAGATTGATGATTTTTTCGGAATCTTGGGCCAAGAAATTACAAGGACTTCAGGAGAGTAAGTTTAGCCGTTTATGTACTCAGCTATCACTCCACAACAAAACTACTCCGTCAAATCAAACAGCTCATTTATGAGGAAATATTCTCAGTAGAGATACATTTAACCTGAAAGAATATTTTTCTTGCCTAGATATTCAATGGCTTGTGCAGCACCAACAGAGTCATCCAAAAAGGAGAACACAAACTACGCTCGCTTGTGTCGTCTGCTGGTTGGTACCCAGGCCCTTAGAAACACATTTGATGCCATCCATCCACCAAAAAATCTTCACAAAATTTTGAAGGCCAATAAAACCACCTTACAATCCCTGAGAAACAAAACGGTTATATACGCAACGCAATAGGGAAAGCTCTTCCCAGCCATCTCTACGTCAGTGTCGTCGTGTCATCGGCCCATTTCGACATTACACTTTTAATGGTTCTGCTGCGGCACATACGCGGCTTACCTTCTTTCGCAGCAGGCTGGGATACACTTCCTGCTGTAACAGATATCACTCCTAAAGCGGATATCGCTCGACATGTAAAATATTACAGGGTCACTGTGAGCGGCCATGCTGAGTGCGCTTCAGTTGATAATTCGACGTTCGACTAAAACTGGGACGACAACCAGGGCGCTCTAGTTAGACTGGGTGGAGAGGAGTACAAAGTAGTCATTGACAATCTTAAAAGTGAGTGCATGGACCCTGAAAATGAAGGTAACAACAAAGAACTTCTCAGCCAGAGGAAGAAAGACGAAGATAGTGTAAAAGATAAGCTAGATGAGATTGGAAGTGGGATTGAAAAACTCTTTAAAGAGTTGAGCGATTTGAGATCATCAAGCTCGACCCAAGAAAGGGAAGCTGGAATCGGGGGTTAGTAAAGTCTTAAGCATTTAAAGTTATTTTGCCTCTTCAAAGCTTTCGGTTAGCAATTTAAAACAACGCACGACAAAACATCTGCAATAAGCTCGATAAAACAATGCAATAGTGTTTCGGACATTGCAGTTAATTTCTGTAGAAAGAATACGATCGACGTTGTAACCCTTTAAAATCACCGTTAACGAAAAAAGAGGAAGAAAATTCTCAATAATTCACTTCACACCCTTTTATATCAGCCAAAAATATTATTTCAAGTTCCCACTTTTGGTTTATTTTTCAAAAGGTAAATCTATGGCGTCGGAACTCCAAATGTTGGAGAGCTCTCCCTCGTATGAAGGGACACACCAGGACGACGCTGAGCCAGTCATTTTCTATTGCACGACGTACAAGGTTTGCATTTCTGATAAAATTGGGCATACTCGCCACACTAATCACTTAAAACTGAATATCCAACGAGCCGCAGAGGAAGAGAAGCTGAAGGTGGTAGACGCTGTCGGAGAGGTGAAAATGCAAATTGCAGAGCTCGAGATAGAAATCCAAGAAACCACAGAACTATTTAAAATAAGTCTATTAAAAATTGCGGCAGCTCGCAACAATCTGTGTACTATCGTTGAAGAACTCATTCGTTCTTTAAAGGAGCACGAGGACTTCATGATGACCGAGTTAGATATTCGGGAAAGAACACAGCAAAAAGATTATTTAAGAGAACTTGAACATTTGCTAGTATCAATAGAGGAGTTCGAAAACACTCTGAGAAATTGCGAGAAGACACCGAAGAGAAACACTGATGTTAAAGCACTGCAAAGGCAAATGAACGAAATTGAAAAGTTCAAAGGTGTTCAAAAAGCAAAAAAAAATGTCATCTATAAGCCATGTTACGTTGGATACCTTCGCGATGAGAGTTATATTCAGGATTTCTTAGGTGCAGCTCCGGGGAAAATTCTTGTCAGTAAAACTGATCCTTCGAAGTCATTTGCAAAAAGTCTCAAATCAGATGATGACTTTAAATTAGCTGAAGCTGAACATATAAAGATAATTAGAATCATAACAACTGATTCCTAAGGCTACAAGTGCTACCAAGAAGTCGATGAGTTTGCAATCCGACCGGAAAGGACCTCGACGTCGAGGTTGATGACTGGTATTCAAGTGGGACATATATCGTCGAGTTTACACCCGATTGTGATGGTGAACATGAAGTGACAGTCTTAATTAACGATCAGCCACTTTCTCGTAGTCCATGGAATGTGAGCGTTAGACCACATATATATACTTTCTCTTTTGATTTTATATCATTGAGAAGAGACAGAAAGTTAAAAGAGCCTTGTGCTCTCGCAGTAGCAATAAGACAAAGAAGATCGCAGTAGCTGATTGAAAGAATCAAAGCGTGCAACTTTTTGTGTCTAAATATTTCCAGTATCTTAACGAACTGGGTGAGAAGGGACAAGCGCGTATAAAACTATTAGATCCCACCTCAGTTGCATTCACTAACTCCGATAAAGTCATCGTAATTTCCTCCGGCACTATGATTTGCTTCACTACTAACGATCAATTCACTGGCTGCATCAACAACAAACACCTGAGAGCTCCATATTCGCTGACTATTGTGTGTGATGGGCGTATTGTGCGACACCGGTGACAAGTCAGTCAAGGTCCTCTCCCCTGACGGGGAAGAAACGCCACAGTCGTTCAGAGCTCCAGACTTTAATGACTCCCCGTGGGAAGCTGTTGGTCACCAAGACAGATTCTTCGTTTCATACCCCACGGCTCGGTGTGTTAAAGCATGCATTTGATAGGGATGGGCGCTTTCTCTATGATATTGGCAATGAAAACTCAGGTGAAGGACAACTGCGGAAGCCTCGTGGTCTCACCATCGACACCTCAACCTGGTGGTATGCGACGAGAAGCACAAAACGTTGAACGTTTACCGATTGGATGGGAAAATTTTTTAACACGATTAGCAGTAATAAGATAGATTGCCCCATGTCTATTGCAGTCAGTTCAGCTGTTCGTTGGCCATTGTTTATCATTGCTGATCCCCGTAAAAAAATCGTCGTATTCTTTCAGTAGCTACAGAAACTAAGGCGTTTCGGATAAAGATTAGTACTTTTTTATTCCAAAAGATCGATTGATTTAAAGCGGTTCTAGACTGATTGTTATAATTTTTATTTATAACAGTATTGTTTTTGAAAAATGATTTTGACATTCATGAGAAATGAAAACATTCTCTTGTTCTTGACCAAAGCCATGGTCCACGTCCCAGGGAAAGCGGGTGAATTTGCTGGCATGCTGGAAACACTTTTTCTTGACGTTTACCGAATGTATTCAAAGCAATCAAAAGCCAACTTTCCCAATCGCAGTTGAACCAATTTCACACTTGTGTTGAAGACCGCACCTGGTTAGCTCAATTGGTTAGAGCGCCGGATTGTGTTGTGCGGAAGGTCTATCAAGAAATGGATAGATATTCTAGTCTTCTCGGATAAGGACGAATAAAACCGTAGGTCCCGTCTCCTGCAGGGTTAGGGGTAGGAGACGTTATTTTCCCACGCAAGAGATTACTGCGTGGTGGATGTCCTCCCCGGCGTGGGAGGGGTGGGTACAAAGGGGTTCCTTTCTCCTGCCATTCCCGTGGCAAATAAATTAAATTCCTAAATTCCTAAAGAAAGGATTGAAGTTTAAAATAGCGGGCGTGGCATGGCAATTATTACTATTACGCCGATGACGTTGATGATACAGCAGAATCCTGCTAAACAGTTTTTGGGAACGGTCTCGGAATTCCTTAACAGATTTTCTTAAAAATTCACTCAGATTTTCTTTTTCAAATAAGGCCCCACTGCTGATTGAATTTTGACAAACTAAATCTGGTGGTTTCAAAGTTATGATGCCTTTACGTTCTCAGCTTATTGACGAGCTGCGATATGATACTCTTTACGGGAAGAGCTGTAAATTAAGTTATATTCGATCGATTGTATTTGTTTTTCGAAAAAACAAAGTTTGCAATTCGTTCTTAGCTATTGTGCTGAATTTGTAACTAATTCGTCCGTTCAAAGAGAAACTACGGGGTATCGAATTAAGATTACTTCAGCAGTGATATTTATTGAACGCTAACTTGAGCTTAAATCTGTTTATCTTGGAAATGCCTCCTTAAAGTTTTTCAAAACACCTCCACGTGAAATTCAGCGAGAACATTTTAGATACGTTTTCCCTTGGTTCAAATTTCTTTCTCTCCCATCTTTCCGCAGCAGTAAAAATCAAAGATGGCGGCTATAATTGTAAGCAAGATAAAAATACCGAACAGTCGCCCGCCAAAATTACGCCTGCTCTGCAGGCTACCTTTCAGGGCTGTCTTGCCCCGGGAGGTCTGGGAAGCAAACAGAGTCATCTCTCTTATTAGCATTGAGGCAGAAAGCCGTAGTGAGAAAGTTCCTGTTCACTGTGACCAGTTTTCATCATTGAGGAACCTAGAATACACCTGATCCTAGACTTCCTTTGCTTCGTAGTACGACAACTGGTACTGGCAGGTTTGTTTTGGTCTGCAATTATAAATTTGTTTATATTTCTACTACCATCTTTTTAGGGAATCACAATCCTCGCGTATTCGCAAATTAAGCGTCTCGTAATCGTGATTAGTTTTATCAACTAAATTTAAACAACACATAATAAATACTAAATCTTTCATATCAACCTCTTTAAGCTCGTGCACCATCAAAGTTTTTTGTTTGTTTGACTTCAATAATTTTTCTTCAATAATTCTTAGGGATTCGAATTCAATTCTCGTCTTAAGCGAGCTGTTGCAATATCGCGTTTACGACGGTCTAACCAAATCATTCAGTTACCGCAGAGTCACCGACTTCCTAACAAATCCATATGTTTCATACTATACAATACTCCCCATTTTTCCTTCAAAGCGGTTACTACCGAGAGCTGAGTTGCTTCAGAGCTAACAGGAGTCCATCTTCTGGTAATAATTAACTTTTTTTTAGATCACTCGATTTGAATTAGATATTTTTAGGTTTTGGGAAGGAATTCAGGATGAAACAAAGTAAACTAAAAAAAAACCCTGTAGTAGTTTTTGCTTTGTATAACCTTAAAAACCGCTACTGACAGTCGCATATCCAATTCATGCACATATATCCTGAAATACGCGCAGTCAGTAACGTAAATGGCAGATCAGACGAGATTTCGTCAAACTAAGCGAATGTTCATGGATTTGACGATCTTGGCGAACTTAAGTCAAATTTGTCAAAGCGAAATCAGCCTGGCGGGCTTAATGATTTTGACGAATTTTCGTCATTTCGTTAAGTACTGCATGCCGCATTTTTGGACTTACAATTAATAAATACGAATTCCGCCTTCGCACTAAATGAAACGCCTCAAGGGTTGTAAATTTGAATCACATCAACTTTGCCCAATATCAATCTTACAATACATGTTGTCATCGGCTTATTCAAACCATAATATCAAAAACCGAAAGTGAGACTCCTTAGTTTCTTTACTATGTTTCAGGGGGGTTTTATGTTCGTCAATCGAAAGTGACAGAGTTCATGCAATTGATCACTGAATGGTCTCGAATGAGTCGGTCACAACCAAACAACATTGGGATTGATTTTGTTTATAGGTCAGCATCTCTTGGTGATTTATTTTCTCGAATCTGATAAATTCTGGCATTTGTTTTCGTTCCATAATCGTAACATCACTTTAAAATATTAACTTATGTTTGACTTTTCAACAATGTTCAGTCCTCAATGTTGGACCCACTCTAATAATCGATTGTCGTTCTTCTCTGGCTAGTCAAATTATGTTAACGTACCGTTCGTTCGATTTCACACTCTAGTAAGTTATGGAGATTTTAGTCTAAACCTTGGCACGACTGAGAACTGACAATGATCATAATGAACAAATCACATTGTACCATAACGGGCAACCAGTGTGAAGTCAAGCTCAAGTGTAAATCACTCATTCTGCCGGGAGATGAATCTGTTTGAATGGATCCATTATCAACAAAAGGGCAGTTTCAATAAATATTTGTGTTTCATCGACAACGGGGCAGAATCATTTTAAAACAGTTACTGAGTTCTCTTATCTACAGCATGTTGCTCAATTTCTCCTCCTTAAAGTTCTCAGCTATCACTGTATTTCAAAACTACAGCGTCTAACAAATAACTCATTTACCAATGAGTATTTTAACCGCCAGTTCCAGTTTCCCTCCGATGAAAGTTCATCGCTCAACACCTTTTCCCGTGAGGATTTGAAACTAAATGAATTATTTCGAAAATGACCTTAAATTTTTAAGTCATAAATAAGTCTGTTATTGGTTCTGGGTTTGACACGGAGACTTTCAGGCGCCATTCTGGGGATAAGTTTAAGACGTTTAAGATTAAATGGTACTTCTCTGCCCCAGGTTGTCCATGGCTACCGCAGCACCAACAGCTTCCTCAACCAAGGAGACAACCAACTACGCTCGCTTGTGTCGTCTACTGGTTGATGTTGGTACCCAAGCCCTCCGAGACACATTTGATGCAATCCATCCCCCAGCCAATCTTCACAAAATTTTGACGGCAAATAAAACTGCCTTACATTCCCTGCGAACCAAAAAGGTTATAAATGCAACGCAATGGGGAAAGCTCTTTCCAGCTATCCCTACTTCAGTGTCATCTAAAGATTTCGACATCACACTTTTAATGGTTCTGCTGAGAAACGTATGTGGCTTACCATCCCCCGCAGCAGGCTGGGATACACTTCCTGCTGTAACAGATGTGGGTCGTGAAGATGATGTCGCCCGCATTAAATATTACAGGAACACTGTGTACGGTCATGCTGAGTGTGCTTCAGTTGATGACTCGACGTTCAGCACATACTGGGGCGACATCCGGGACACTCTGGTGAGACTGGGTGGAGCAAAATACAAAGCAGCCATTGACAATCTTGAAACTGAGTGCATGGACCCTGAAGTCGAAGATCACTGCAAAGACCTTCTTTGCCAGTGGAAGAAAGATGAAGAAAATGTGAAGGATCAACTAAATGAACTTGGCAGCGAAATAAAGAATGTCGCCAAACGGCTGGATGATTTGTCTTCAAGCCTGACTCTAGAAAAGGAAACTAGGATGGAAAGTTAGTGCAGTTTGAGTTTGAGTTCATTTTTTCATTGTTCAAAACTTATTGTAATGAACATAACTAGAGTAAAGCACGCGCTCTAATTGGTCTATTTAGTATCCACCATTTTCCCATAGGTGCACACTGCTGACGTCACCAAATGCAAAGACTAGTTTGCGCGCGCTTTTTTTTCTGGTCACGTAAGATCTGTTAAATAACAGAGAACTCTTTTCCTATAATGTAATGTTCACTTTAAAACAAATGGTAAACACCACAGCGTACACTGGTGAGTTACGGATGCACTTGAAAGGTTTTCTAAGCACTCAAGAAGCTAGAGTCGCTCTCGGCTATCGCCTTGAGCGTCTCTTAAGCTTATTTCGTGCTTAACAACCTCCTACGTGCATCTATAACTCAATAGTGTCTACTGTGATGTTTACCTTTTGTTAATTAAAATATCCTAAGCCCTCGCAATATAGTGTCGCGTATAACACCATATTAGATCGTATAAGACTACGAAATAGCATTAGTAGACAAACATTAACACAAACTATTCACTCATCAGGTCTTCATTCAAGTAAGATTTATTGCTATATATCGTTTCAGGATGGATAAATGCAATCTCCTTCCGCTAGTAAGGAATGCTTGTAAACCTCCAAAATACTGACCTACTCTTCAAAAAGAGTTGTGGCTATATAGCTGTGTTGGTTGATTCCCGTAAGATTTTAAGCATTTTATTTTTCTAAGCTTATTAATCTTATCAATTTATTTCGAAACTTTATTTTCTAATTCTTCGTCAATTTCTCACAATTGAATTAGTGGAAGATTCGCTTTCTTAAAGAATTTGTCCCTGTTTATCATGAGGTGCACATGGAAAAATAAGTCGCAATTTCGTAACATTTTAAACCACTGTTTGCAATGAAAGCAAACACGGAACGTTCAAAAATTTGTTTAATACAACTCATTTACGTTAGCGAAAAACCATATATTTACTTTGCATCTCTAATTGTGATTTTTAAGGTAAATCCATTATGCTAGAGGAGCCATTGGATAGCTCTACTATGTGCAGAGAAAAAGGCCATGAGACAGAACTTCTGGACCGCTATTGTTAGAGCTGCAAAGTTTCCATTTGCGACAGGTGTGGGGAGACTCGTCACAGTCATCACCCCAAAATGAGTATCCATCAGGCCGCCGAGGAAGAGAAACTGAAGATGAAAGAGACTGTAGAACAAGTGAAAATGCAAATTGTTGACCTCGAGATGCGAATAAAAACAACAACAGAACTTTTTACGGTGAGTACGGAAAAAATTGCTACAGCTCGTAAGGAAGTGTGGACAACTGTTGAAGAACTCATTCGTGTATTAAAGAAGCACGAGAGGGACATGGTGGCCGAGTTAGACGTCATCGAAAAGGCACAGCAAAAAGGTTATTCAACACAGCTAGAGCACTTGCAGACATCTGTAAACGAATCAAAAATCTCTGTTCAAAATTGCGAGGACATCATACACGAAAATGTCAGGGTTGAAACTCTACAAGCACAACAGGCCGAAATTGAGAGGTCTAAAGGTGTTCTGAAGGCATTAAAACTAGACATTTATAAGCCATGCCACCTTTGCTATAAAGCAGATGAGGACTATCTAGAGAATTTGACAGGTAAAGCTCCTGGTGAAGTTCTTCTCAGTCACACTGATCCTTTAAGGTCATTTTTAGAATGGAATGGCTGGGGACCAGCTAAAGCTGGATGGAACAAAATCTTTAACATTGTGACAATTGATTCAGATGGGGAACAGTGCTACCAGGAGATCGATGAGATCAAAGTGACAGTTCAGACTCCCACGGGGATAGACCTCGACCTCGCGTATGATGTCTGCTGCCAAGGAAGATATATTTATAATTACAGACCACTCCGTGATGGAATACATGAAGTGACAGTGCTGGTTAACAGTCAACCACTTCCAGATAGTCCCTGGAGTTTATGGGTGAGTCCACATGTGTATTCCTACTTGACTAATGTTTCACAAGTATATCGATTAGCACACTTCGAAGAACCCTGGGCTGTTGCAATAGACGAGAGGACAGGAAATATCGCATTGGCAGATCGAAAGAAACGGAGGGTGGAACTTTTCAGTTGTAATTTGGAATATCTAACAGAACTCGGTCAGAATGGACCAGCTGCGATCAAACTATCAAATATTACCTCAGTTGCATTTACCCAAACTGGTGACGTCATCGTCATTGCTTCTGGAAGCGTTATTTGTTTTACAATCAGTGGGGAATTTACAGGGTGTATTAACAACAAAACTCTCAATTCTCCTTTTTCTCTGACCATTGCGTATGATGGCAGTATAGTAGTGTGCGACACCGGTGACAAGTCAGTCAATGTCCTCTCCCCTGACGGAACAGAAATGCTACAGTCCTTCAGTGCTCTAGACTGTGATGACTTCCCGTGGGAAGCTGTTTATCATCCAGACGTGTTCTTCGTGTCTTACCCCACAGCTGGTTGTGTTAAAATGTTTAATAAGGTCGGGGACTTTATCTATAACATTGGCAATGAGAATGTGGGTTATGGACAATTGAGTACGCCTCGTGGACTTGTTGTCGATGTTTTTGAGAATTTGATAGTTTGTGACGAGGAAAACAAAAGTTTAAACTTTTACAAACTGGATGGAACGTTTTTTAAAAGCATAAGGAGTCCTATGTTAGACTGTCCCTTCTCAATTGCGGTCTTTCCAAGCATTCGAGCGGCATGGTTTCTCGTTTCTGACCTTAAAAGAAAAATCTTTATTCGCGTTCAGTAAGTGCAAATATCAAGCGTTCAAAAGTAACCATTACCTTTTTGAAATCTATCTGAAGAAATTTCTCCAATAGCCTTCCGATACAAAACTGATATTGAATACCTAATTTTGTTTTCTGTATGTGCTATCGATTTCCAACTAATATAAAGTGCATGAAAAGAATACCTTTCTCGTCAAATATCATGATGTTGATAAAGGTACGAACTAAGAACGGGGTGTCCCTGCAATGATTTCATTGAAGTCATTCTTTCCTCCCTTGTCTCGTCCTTAGGGAAGGATAAACCGCCTCAGGGACAAGGTTGGTTGGAGTTTAGTGCATTTGCCAACACGTTGCAAGGTAAAGTGCAGCCTAAGATGAGAAAGATGAGCTTTTGCCGCCCTAACTCATTAGCCCGCACTTTGCACACACGTTTTGAGCATCTGTCATTTTTAGGATTACTCTCCGCATCGAGTATACCCTCACTCTCTAATCAGCTTTGGCAGTCCTTCCCTAGGAAAAGTCTAGCTACGAGTCTTCACACGTAAACTCGTAAACGTTTAAGTAGAGTTATGTGCTGGTCTGTCGTTACTCATAAATGGCAACATACATGGTCGTCACAAGTTTGAGTTATGCCACTCTATAATGGTTCCCTCGGGCATTTTGTGTGATAGATTAGACACTGCGTGACGAGCCGCATAGCATAACTCGTAAAAGTTTAGCAGCAACACGTGTCTATTATGTGCTTGGTTGAGGTTACTTATCAGCGAGAGATCATTGCAGGTCTGTAAAGTACTTAATTTGCCCAGGTATTTGAAAGGCATGGTCGGCAAGTGACATACCGTGAACTGCCACTCATAAGCACCCCCTTTTCACACACACACACACACACACACACACACACACGCACGCACGCACGCATGCATACACACACACACACCGGCTTGTGGGCCCACCTACCTGTAACTAAAAAAAAATCTGATCAGAAGGCCCCTCTCCCTATTTTAGCTCCCTTCTAGCTATTCTCTCATAAGAACTAAAACTTCAAGATCCCACCTAATCTGCATTGATCCAATCTGATGACGTAATTGCTTCTGTTGCCATCCATTGTTTTACTGTTAGTGGCAGCTTTACCAATCGCATCAACCACGAACACTTTCACGTTTCATTCCACACATGGTAGTGTGTGACGCACGTGACGAGTCAATGAGTCAAATCATAAACGAGAAGAGGACTTGTAAAGAATACTTAAAACTGAACTTTCTTTGGCCTAAACGCAAAGAAAAGGTTACATTTTTAGAAATCTGGAATTTAAGAGAAGCTTGGAGTTGTTCCTCCAGTCCGTTTAAAGAGTGGACTGAGCTTACTCTCCAAGGCGATTTTAAAGATGAAAAAGAGATAGGTTATCGTTCCGTTGAGGTAAATTTATTATGAAAACGTGAGTCGGTAAAAATCTTGGACAGGTCATTGAAATCCATCGCAGCTAATGCGTTTATCACTTGTTTCATAAAGCAAATATATTAACATTGGCCTTGCTGTTTAAGCGCAAGAAAAAAACGTTTGATCGTTTTGACTAACTCAAGAAAGTTTTGGATATTTTCGGTTTAAAATTATTCATGCCCTTTCTTTGCGTGACGAGGAACAATAATGATTGTCTAAAGCTCACATAAAAACTCAGTGGCCAATCAGCGGACCGGAGCATGGCGTGATACACACACAAACCGACCAGCGATAGAGAGTGGGTGGAAGGACTTCCACCGTAAAGCAGAACTCATTCGTGTAACCTTGTTTTCCTCCTTTCTCTAATCATTTTACGTCCCTTGGTTGCAGAAACCCTATTTTACTAAAATTCCGCTCAATATGCCTTTAACTTTTTAATTGATAAATTTCTCTCCACGATCGCCTCGCCACGAGGTAGTTCTGGTTATGACAACTGTCAACTTGAAGCAACACGAATAGATGTCTCCCGAGGTCAAATTATAGGAGTTTCGAATTTGCTTAATCAGTCGATAGAAGTCTTTTCATCTAGAAGGAATAAATTGGTGTGAACGCAACATTTGCCATTCTTCTAAAGCCTTATCGCATCGCCGTTGGTAAATTTAAAAAGAAACCCTTTGTTAGTAAGCATTTCAGTAACTCGGAAAGCAACGTCCTGTTAGAAGACAGCTTCGAATTCATTGATTCTGGAGATTGACTGCTCAAAACACGACTGGAGTTGCAGGTTTGTTCAATCCTCGATGTCCTTATCTTTTACATTTCTTTGTTATAGTTTTGGTAAGACAGTCGGACTTCCGCAAATCTAGCGTCTCGGTCCCGTTTGAAACCCAGTGAAGCTCAATCAGCTAACTGAAAACTAAGACCCCATGTTGCTAAATATATAAATGCATATGATCAAATTATTTGGTAACAACCTCTTTATCCTAGATAAACCTCGTAGTCCTGATTATTATTTTTAAAGAAGCTGGTTTCCATGGTTATTCGGTTTTCAGTCATTTTTCGTGGTGCGAATTTGAATGCTTCGTCGATGATCAAGCCGCGACAATGTCACATTTACTTTGTAACCTAATTATGATTTCTATCTTAATGACCCACCCCCGAGCCTTCTGCTGTGAAAAGCCTTTCCCCGTTCCTTGTTAGCACTGTTAGTAGAAATACTTGATGTCGCTTTGAATCTGTTAATCGCGATCAGTAAACCAAAATGGATCTGGTGCTAACATTGCTGGCGGTCTCCGGTTGCCTAATCTTGTTGCAGGTTCAGGCGATAAATTTTATCATGTGTACCGCAGTATTTCTGAAGAAACGCAAATTATTATTGCAAGGAAGTTTAACGTCAGCCACACTTAATCGCCGACGACGTAGACTGCTTGGCATCTGTCCAACTCAAATTTGCCTCAGTGGCATCTGGATCTACTCTAGCCTTTTTTGGGGGAGGCATTTTCACTTTGTCGATCGAACGACGAAACAACACTGGGCTTGGTAACCATTCCATTTCGAATGTTCCCGGAGTTGTCGTTGTGTGTAAACGGTCAGGAATCCGAATATCCTTTCAGTGTAAACGCCTACGAATCCAAATACTCCAAAATTGATGAATCCGGAAACATTTACGAATCCGGAAAACTCTCCTCTAGTGTAAACCTAGTCTAAGACTTTGCACTGCCTGAGAAATACATGATACACGCCTGAACCACAAGCGAGGAAGAAAGTGTTCGAGTGGGTATCAGGCAAATTTGGAACAATTTAGAGATGTACCGTGCTGACTTATCATAATGCTCTGTAAGGGGAGGGGGGGGGAGGAGGGGGGTTGCTTTGCTCGGAAGGACAACTTTAAGTTTGTCCAACCTAAAGGTTAAAAGGTTAGGGTCGAGGTATGAAAAAGTGTTACAAAAATTGTCAGTTTTGTGTTTCAGGGGGTGTAACATCTGATGAAGCATGATTTATTGACCCATATATTGACTGATATGTTTCTTTTCTCTTCTGTTCTAACTGCCACTGCAACTTTCATCAATTTGGAGAAGAGCTGCAGTAATTTCATCCTGAGTATAACGAAGAGATACCTATATATATTTTGGTCTAAAAAATACATAAAGCAACAAAAGTTTGGTCCAAACCGAGGTGAATTTGCAATAGCGAATTCTAGTTAAGTATATCTCGTCTACGGATAGCCTTATAGATCCGTTTCACTGTTTTTCCTTATTAACCTTGACAATGTTTAGAATCTCTGACAAAGTACTTTCCATGCGTTCTATCCTCTTATTTTGAATTTCAATGGTTCTTTCAATTCTTTTCATGCTTTCCTGCGGTCTTTCTGAATACTTGACCTCCCCTGGACACATCTTAAAGGCAGAAAACGGAAGGGAAAATATCCACAGTTAATTCAAATAAAATGGGCCTGATGGCACGCGCATGATAAATTGGGTGAGCACGTACAAAGCGATATCACAAGGCAGAAATACGAGTGAGTGGATAGGAAGGAATGGAGATTTATAGGCATACAGAAGTGAGGATAGGCAAAGGTAAAAACTGCTCTCCCAAGCTTAACAATCCAGAACACCAGAGCTTATTCCAGCTTCCCTAGCGTGAAACGACAAAAAAAATTTCTCATTCCCCTGAAAGGAAAGCAGGCTAGCCCCTAAATGGTGGAAAGAGGTAATAGCACGTTATCCCACCTAACAACACAATACAATGAACCAACTACAGCTTCAACCCTGACATACTGACTCCAAGCCTGGGGCACTAACCATTAGGGCATCTCGTTTCCCATGTACAAAAAAGTGAAGTCGTCAAAAAATATTTTGGTGCACAAAAGAGCTTCAGTTTAAGTTCTTAACTTTGCATAAGAATCTTAAAATCCCACATCAACGAACCTTCGCTAGTACTCTAATTCCTCCATGCTTCATTCCAACAAAAGGGTAAAGATCTAATTCATCAGATCCTAACTCCAGCAAAATTTGAACCTCTAGCTGTCCATTGAGGGAGAAGAAAATTGGAATTTTGCCATCTCGTATCTCGTCAACACCTGCTCGACAGCCAATCGAATCACCTCGATACACCACAGGACCTGGGAGAGAAGAAATAGAGAACT